CAAACCCCCCCGCCCCCCCCCCCCCCCCCCCCCCCCCAAAAAAAAACTCAACCAAAAACACACAGACAAAAACCACAAAAAAAGACTGAAATAACTGACCTAGGGAGCATAGAAATCTGCAATAATCCCTTTTTGGAATGAATTGCAATAGTTGATGTTCAAATATTGTTTTCTCCTTCCCTTTTTCCTCTTTATCCTGTCCTTGCACTCTCTCTGATCTCTCCTTTTTAAGTTGCTCTGCTAAGGTAAGGTTACACTGGTAGGTAAATAAATTACAAAAATGGGAAATAACTAAAATTACAGTGCAACATATCATGTTTTCTCAGATACTTAGCAGTACTGTTCCAGGGGGTTTTATTATTAACTGTATTGATCCCTGTGAGGGGATAGCAATTTGCACACAATGAACTTTTATTTATATAGCTACAGCTATTTTTCATTTCTAACATATGGAGATTAATTAAAAGATAAAATGAATTTAAAAACTCTTTCTTTGTATTGCTTCAATGTCTAAATTTCTAAGTGACATTGCCAAAATTTTACTATTATTTTAATGTTCAGGCTGATTTTTTTTTTTTCCCTAACTGCTAATTGGAAAAAAAAAAAAAAAAAGGGTTCCATGCAGGCAATGAACAGCAATACAGCAGAAGATGTGACAAAAGAAATTCTATTTTAAGTACTGTTCTAATAAAAACTGAAATCTGATTGCACAGTTGTAAAATCAGACATGGCACAGACCTTCTGTAATATTTTTGTATTCAAAGTCACAATCCTACAGGTCTTGTAGAGTTTAAATGAAAAGTTCATTTCTCAAATTTTATCATGTTCCCAACAAAGAGAACTTCTTGTAGCAAGTATACAAATACATATACCAGAAGTTATTTAAAGTGAGGAACATACATTGCTTGCAGTGCCTACTACAGTGGTTCCTGATCTTTGGCTAGAATGTGTAAGTTTTAAAACCATGTAATAAAAAATAAAGATGTAGATTTATTTAAAATAATATATATATATATATATCCCTGTGGCAATCTGAAAAAAGAAGGTGAAATAAGAATTTGGTGATTCAGAACCCCCTCATTCCAGATCACTTGTATAAATCCATGTTCTTCAGTGGCTTGTAACGCTGTGATCCTTTTTGGCAAAGACAGTAATGCAGTATAAGCTTTTTCTTGTCTTCTGCTGTGTTTACTTAAAATCCTAGTTTTGTGGTCAATTTAAGCTAGCACTGCTGTCAAAGGAAGCCTCTTCTTCCCTCCTTGTGTTGTCCCCGCAAAGTGCTATCGCACCATTCCAGACTGGGAAAACTGGCCTTATTGAAAACTAGCCATATTTTTTCCCTTGTAGGTGGGTAGAGAGGAAGGTTCTAAGCTAGTTTAAGGTATTTGTGAAAATACTGCACGTGAGTAAAACTGCACAAGGGTTTGAGCCAATTCAGGTTGCTGTTGTCATGCCTCTGACCTCCCTTCATCTCCATGTTCTTCCATGTTTCTCAGTCTTCAGTCTTGCTGTGCCTTGCATCAGCACTGGTGCTTATGTGATCTTACTCTAAGACAGACCAGGGAACCAAACTGATTAAAGACTAATCAAAAAGCTAATAAAACTAATGAGAAGTTGAAGAGTTTGTCAACTGACTGGCTACCCTGCTGTCTGCATCATCTTTGGGCAGTCTTGTACTCCCTGGTTTCTCCTCATATGTTCAATCAAAAGTCAAAACAGCTGAAGCGTAATGAGAGCTTTCAGCAATACAGTCAAGACAACCACAACGGACCATCTAAATTCTTCACTGAAGTCTTCCTTCTTCAGTCTCTTTTTTGGCTGGTTCTTGGTTGCCTACAGCTACCTTTAGGGAAATGTCCTTGTCTTCAAAGCCTGGGAATGGAGATATGGAATGAAAGGATGAGCAGGACGTTACTGTTTTTTACAGTCATGCTGCAGTCTTGTCCATGAAGCTGTTACTCCTGCTGCCATGAAAAGTGTTGTTATAGTAAGATCATACTGGATTAATTTTTTTTTGCATTCTTCTTTTGTTACTTTTGTAAAGGCACCATATTAAATGACATATTTTCAGTCAGGGAGTCTGCTTGTCTCTGATTCAGATGCAAAGGCTAAAGCACAAGTATTAGCTGCAACTGTTCCACATATTGTAAGACTAAGTTCCTACCAAAAAAAAAAAATTACTGTGAAGAGCACAAACCAGTGGATGACTAATCAGAAGTAGTAATATATGAAAGCTTTTTAATAAAACAAGAGAAAGAAACCCCCAAATCTTGCATCTCAGGGAAGACAAGTAACTGCAGCTGAGTTGCAAAAGCAACTTCATCTATAGTTTGAAGTATTTTTCTACTAATAAAAATAGACAGGCCAAAGTGCTTTTCCTATCGATTGTGAATTATTTAATTGATTTCTTCTTCAAGCCTGTCTTGACACCTGTCTTTCATCAGGGAGTGTCTGTGCCCCGATAAATATATCCACAAGAAATACGTTTATCAAGCTCTATGCTAAAAGGTGGTGGGTTTTCACAGAATCACACACAATCACAGAATCATTAAGGTTGGAAAAGACCTTTAAGACCATCAAGTCCAACCGTCAACCCAACACCACCATGCCCGCTAACCCGTGTCCTGAAGTGCCACGTCTACACATTTTTTGAATACTTCCAATGGTGGTGACTCCACCACCTCCCTGGGCAGCCTGTTCCAATGCTTGACCGCTCTCTCAGTAAAGAAATTTCTCCTGATGTCCAGTCTAAACATCCCCTGGTGCAACTTGAGCCTGTTTCCTTTCGTTCTATTGCTGGTTACTTGGGAGAAGAGACCAACGCCCACCCTCCCGGTTTTAATCAGAAGAGTGTTTTCAAACATCACTGATCTCATTCTCTAAATTTGTTCACCAATGGTTTTTCTTTTCATGTCAGCTTTGTTTAACTCAACTAGCTCTTCTCTCTCTCAAGTGTTTATTCCCTGCTGTGTTTAAAAGCAATGAACGTGTTTTCTTCCAGGCCTTGTTTTTCCTAGACTAAACAAGCCAAACACTACTGGGTTTGAGACTCAGAACTTTGTCTCATGACAAAGCTTCAGCAGAATTTGATGTAAATCAGCAAAGGGTTTATATGTTTTAGTTGCAGTGGAATTTCACTGTCAATGTTTTTATTTGTGGGAACCCAAAATGGAAGGAAACATTGTTTTGCATAGCAGTGTGATTCTAATGACGTGTCTATGTGTGTCCACCCCGTTGGAATTGTTAGCTTAGGTCTGGCATTGCTCTGCTGCTTCAGCTTCTGTGTGAGAATGGCCATACATGAGCATCTCAGGTACACAGCGAGCAAACTCCGGGCTTTTTTCAGAGGCAGGCTCAAAGCTGACAAGTTTGGTTTCTGTGTCTCAGCAAATCCAGCCAGCGTGCCACAAGAAGGATTTGCATCCCAAAATACATTCAAGGCAGGAGGAACTGGGGCGTTCCTCTGCCGTGCTGCTCATGGCCAGCCTAGGGCTGATTTCAAGAGGACTTCTCCGGTGTCAGACACAGAGCAGCACTCCTGTTGCAAAAAGCAGATGCCTCGCAAAAGCACTCGCTAAGCTTCGTTGCTGGTGAGCAGCTGCAGAAATATGTCTGAGAGTTCTGCAGTCTTTCCGTTTTATTGACATAGCCGTGGAGCTCTGATTATAGGATAATAATACTTGGACTGTTTTTTTGTGAACTAATGTAACTAGAAGTGAGTTAATAAATATTCCACGATAACTAAATATTTGACAGTAATAGAAATACCACTCTGTTCCCAAGCTTTGCTCAATGCTTTCCGTAGTTAATTGTGCTGTGCTGTTGAGATACATCACTGCAAAACAACTTCCAATTTTTAGGAATGCTTATTTTCTTCTGAAGTTACATAGTTTACAGAAATACCTAGTAGCCTTATTAAATTTTAATAGCAGCACTTAATTTTAAATTGGCTTTGAATAAAAATCCTAGGCATTTTACATTTCTAAACTGTATCGAGGAAAAGATCTTCCAAGACGAAGACGGAAGAATGCACGTGGATGCTCAAGTTAGCAATGCTTAAGTGAGTTAAAAAACAAAATTTATGCTTCAGAGTGTAAAACTAACTCTTGTTCCAGGCCCAGAAGAGTGGAGTCTGAGTGGGGATCAGTGGGACTGGCTTGTCCTGGGAGCTGTGTATGGTTACTATCCATCACGTTAGGCTTCTGCTGAGGGTAGAGTATGCTGCTTCTCCTCCCTTCTGAAGTCCGTAGCATCTTAACTCCCACAGGTCTCCACAGGCACGTGTATTGCAACTGGTGGCATTCCACTTATGGGAACTAGCGAATCAAACTCTTCTCATGTCAGACTCTCAGATTAATTCAAAAGTAATTTTTTAGTTTGTTGGAATACTATACAAAGGATTTTGTGACCAATCTGAAAATAGCATCCTGTTTAGTATGTTTATTTTCCTGGGTCAAGAAGCTTGAAAGATAGAATGGTCTGTCAAAGATCTTTTCATGGTTTCTAAATTTGTCTAGTCTGATTTACTTTTTTCTAAATGTTTAAAAGATGCAGTGGGAAAATGTGAGAATTAATACAAATATTATTGGTCCAGGGTCTGCCGAATTAGGTACTATCCCTAAAAATAGTCTTCACATTTTCAAAAAACTTACTTACAAATTTTGTTTGTCAGGTTTTAAAACCACCTTTCCAAAACGGTGTTTGGGTTATTTTAACGTAGAAAACATTTAGTGAAAAAGTTGAAAGGAATTCAGCAAGTGGGTTTATTTGCAAGTTATTTCTACGTCTGTATATTCTTTCTATGTCTGCATGTCTGTATATTCTTTCTATTCTTTCTTTCATGTCCGTATATTCTTTCTACATTATTTCTACATGTTTGTATGCTGCTTTCACACAAAAATAAAGAACTGATTTTTCCATTATCAGTTCCGTAAGCAATAATTGGTTTCCACTTAATTGTGGAAGTTATTTTATCCACTGTGGCTGTGCCACCCAGCTGGAGGAGCTCAGACTGTCGCAGGCTGGGCCAGGAACATGAGAAAGCACCTGAGCTGGAGCAAAGGTGTTCTCCCACCACCATGTGCTCGCTCTCCTCCTCCCGATGGTCCTCCTTTCCCCTGTTCTTTTTCCCTTCTTCCTTCTCCCCTTCCCTGTGGACGTTTCCAAGGCTTAACATCCATTGAGGAGGCGCTGCTGTGGTTCAGAGGGAGGTGAGAGCTGGGTCTGGGTTGCGCTGCCATGTGCACAGAAAACCAAAACCAGTTGTTTGTGCGCATCTGACAGCTCAGGATCTGGGAATGACGGTAGTAATTTACAGAGAGTTTTATGGTGATGTAATCAGCAGGAAAAGGGTAGCCACATCCGGCTATATTGAGTCAAATAAATCAGTTCTTGCTTTCCCAGTATCATCACTGATCTGGAAAGGTGCCTGTCTGTGTTTTAAGGCTTAAGAGTTTCCATCAGTCTTACTGTGCTCCAAAGTCAGAAGTGCTGAGGGGACGTGTGCGTATTTGTGTGTGTCAGAAGGTTGGGAGCAAGAACGCTGTGCAGCAATGAAAGCAACAGCAAATGAGGGAAGAGGAAGAGACACGTTTTTACCTTGTGCAAATAGCTGGCAAAGGGAAGAGAAGTAAATGCAGCTGTATGTTTATGCACATATCTACAAAACATGTCTATGGGCTTCTGCTTAAGAAATGCAATGGTATTTGAGAGAGATTTGTTTCAATCTCTGCTTGTTTTCAAGTGTGGTAGCTGCCATTTGGACGTGAGTTAGTTACGATGCTTGAGGACAGGCGAGGCTTTGTTGTTACTGGGACTTTGGATAATACAAAATAAAACCAAAAAAAAGGCTAGAACGTGTTGCTGTGGTCAGTCTACAAAACAGTAGTAGCATTTTGTAATGTAGCTGCTACTGTTCATAGAATCATAGAATAGTTTGGGTTGGAAGGGACCTTTAAAGGTCATCTAGTCCAACCCACCTGCCATGAGCGGGGACATCTTCAGCTGGAGCAGGTTGCGCAGAGCCCCGTCCAACCTGATCTGGGATGTTTCCAAGAATGATGGATAATAACTTGCCAGAATCCAGTGAAAATTCAGGCAGTTTTTACGGCTGTCGTTTTTTTTACTGGAAAGGCCATTAAATATTAATGTAATGACTCTTCAATCTGAAGCAAACCAGTAACATGAAATAAGATCGATGTCTATATTAATTACATGTCTTAAGATACTAGAAAAGCCTTTGGTTCTTTTTATGTCAAATGCTTGTATGCAGCAGTTGGAAGAGCAGATCTTTCTTCATACCATCCACTCTTTGGGAGGAAGAGAGTGAAATCACCGTTGTATAGCATTGTAAGGTGGTCAGGATGCATTTCCTGAAACGAAAAGGAGGGTGAAAAGGAAAATGCAGCTCCATGCCAAGCAATACTTTACCCTTGTTAATGGCTAGGTCAATAAGCAAAGGTTTAACCACACATTTACACATGACTGTGTAAACACAGCGCATTCTTACAGTGTGCAATTACTTTAGCTGCCTAATCGGTAGATAAGGCTCTACTATTTTGCAATATGTTTATTAATCACTTAACTTTTTGTTCTTGAAATTGCAGAAAATACGGTGTTGTTTTTTTTAATGGGGAATATTGTTCTCTAGAGGATTTTTCCCTATTCCTTTAACTCTGCCTAATCTTTTTCTAATGGTAGAGCTAAATAGTTGCTGTTCAAAGCAAAGCAATTTTTCATATGTTGTTTATATGAACTTACATCACTTTGTGCACTTCAATTAAAGTAAGTAGCTATGCCAACCAAAGGCAGTTCTATTCATTTTCTGCTTTCTCTGAAGCAGGCAGTCGTAGGGGTGTACCAGTTTCTACTCTTCTCCCTTCTCCCCCTACCACCTTCCCCAGGGACTTCTGGCTTCTTGGTGGCTCATATTTTGAGAAGCAGCAGTAGAGAGTCTTTTCCCATGGGAAAATACTAGGCTGCTGTGCACAGGATTTCCAAAGTAAATGGCATCTGTCCAGCTATCTAAACTAGGCTGCACTATCTAAAAAAACTAATTAGTTTGCCCATCTTGTTTTGTCTTCACTTTGATTTAGCAAACTTCTGAAACCTTTCAGGCTCGTCTGTACCAATATTTCTATTTACACAGTCCTCAAAGCTCTTTCGAAATGTATATTTCACATTTCTGTTATGATGTTGTTGACGTTACTATGGTAAAAGACTACTACTCTTCACTCACGCCTATAAGCAGGTTCTCATGGTGCAAATTATTAAACTAAGGCTCAGACAGATAAGAGAGTGACCAAGTAGAAGCTAGGAGTCATTATCTTAAGAAAGAAACAGAATTTAGAAGACTGGCTCAGTCTTAAGAATATTTCCAAATGAAAATTTATGTGACTAGGTAGGTGGTCTGCTTATTGCTTCTTCTGAATGTCCTTAATGCGATTCAAATGGCTTGAGAGCTTTTGTGCATCTTGAGAGTGACTTGAGTCCAACTTTTATTTGATCTAATAGATAGTTCACTGACAGTTAATATTTCCACAGTTTGTGTAAGACATGTAGAAGGTTTGTGGATTTAACCTTCTCTGTTAAATCTCGATTTAACCTCTCTTCACAGTAGAGTTTCACGTACTTAAATATTGTGTTTTGCAAGACACTGCACACACTGAAATAATACTGTTCTTTGGTCTTCAGAGATGCTTTCCAACGTGGAGAAGGGTTTCCTGGCAGTGACACCGATGCTTTCACTTAATGATTTCACCCGAATTACTCCATGACCTTTGTTAGACAACCACAACACACTTCTGCATTTCATTTATTCATAGTTACACACTTCATGTTTTCCAGGTTGCAGTTCTGTTTGTGCCGCTGTCCCTTGTTCATGTGGTTAAAGGGACTGCCATCAGGTTTCGAGATTGCTTACCCAAATCTTGCCCCCTCTGCCTTACTGCGTTTCTTGGTGTCTTCACTGCGGCTCTTACAGTATAAACAGGATGATAATACTTGTTATGTTTACAGAGCCTTTCGTTTTGCCAAAGGAAAGCGCTGGTAGCTGGGAGCAGGCGCTCTGTTAGTGACAGAGCAGTCAGGTCCAGAAGGCTGTTTTGCTTCTTGAGACTTTTTTTTATACCACTTACATAAAGCACTTTATTTAACATTTACCTTTTTGTTGTTCGTTTTAGGATCAGGATCCAAGCTGTCAATGAAATTGGAGCTGGACCATTTAGCCACTTTATTAAAGCAAAAACCAGGCCATTACCACCCTTACCTCCTCGGTTAGAGTGTGCTGCAGCAGGTCCTCAGAGCCTGAAGCTGAAATGGGGAGATAGCAGTTCCAAGCTTCACACTACCGATGACATGGTCTATATCTTGCAGATAGAAGACAGAAATAAAAGGTAAGAGAGATGAATCTTTTCCTTGTGTTAATGGAAATGAACTCTGGTGCATCATAATGCAGTTGTGAGTCACGGTGAGAAAAATGTTGTTGTTTTCCTGATTACTTCATCCCTGCAAATATATACAAAATATTCTTTTAATAGGGATTCTGTGCCTGTGAGGCTAACAGAGCAAATTATGTAACAAAGCTGTTAAAGGTGTTACAGAACAACTTCAGCGCTGTACTGTTGAGATTTTAGCAAAACTCTAGCCCCTCTGCCAGTAAAAATTAATACCAAGTTTCATGGTCATAGTACTTTACCCTTTGGAATACAAAACAAGGATATTGCACCCAACAGTGCTGTGTGTATTAATAAAACAAATGGTTACAAAATGAGAGGTCTAGGAAAGGCAAAACTGAGCAGAAAAAGTTTTTTGGGGCAACATGATAGTCAGGATTTTACAGCTGTAAAATATGAGCTTGTCATCAAATTATTGTGTAGCTTCGTAGCTACACAATAATTATGAAATAAGGATGCAAAAGAGCTTATCCACCATGCTTCACTTCTTCCCTAAAATTTTCTTCCAAGCCACGATAGCTTTCGGTGTGCAAGAAACACAAAAATGAACATTAAAGAGTACTCAGCAAAAAGTATTTTCCCATGCAAACTTTGTATGGGAGGCTATGATAATGTAGCTCCAATGATGTGATGGGATATATTCAATAAAAAATGGGAAGGAGAGAAAGACAATATCAGTATTGCTTAACTGAGCTCTTCAATGAATAAATGTCATAGATGGCTCATAATTTACCAAGAAACACTCTCAACTAGTTTAATTAGATAAAATAACTGATATATCAAGTAGATAATCCTTAGAGACCTTCAATACAGATCATAATTTGGTGTAAATTGGCATGATTCCTTCAACTTAAATAGAGCTGTGCTGAGTTTATGCCAGCTGAAGATCTGGCCCAAAAGCTCTAATTGTAAGTAATAAAACCATCATGAATAATGCCTAAATACCTCCCACTACCTCAACTGTACTGATGCAGAGAGGGTACATGCGCCCCTGTAATACTGAGAGGTGTCCAATGAATATAAATGACCATCTGAAAGCCTGACTGATAAAAACAGTTTCTTCAGAGTGCAATGATGCTAGGCAGGAGCCCGTCACCTGCAGCAGCGTGTGATCAAGTCAGCTCTAAAGAAACATACAGCAGGCTGCTTCTGTTTGCTTTCATGTAGCACTGCAGGTAGGATGGTGAAGAACTGTAAATTGGTTTAAACCTGTTTTTATGTTGGAGAAAATAGTAAGTTTCCTTGTCGGAATAAAATACGTTACGTTACCTGGTAGCAGAGGAGGAAAGCTTTTTCCCCTTTGTTTTTGCATAAGGGCTTTAGCATCATCCTTTGCTTTTGCATAAACTTTTCCCACTGCAAATGGACTCTCAAGAGCTCTTAAGTAGGAGGAATTTGAACTTACTACCCTGCTAGGTCTTCTTAGCTTTAAATTTGTCTAATCCACACGAGCTCCCAAAGATGCTCCCTTCAGTGACAGGGAAGAACGCTGAAAGGAACAGGAAAGCACACCTGATCAGCACATGGCTCAGGGGCTGGTGCCGTCGTCAGAATTTTGGGTTTTTTGACCACGGGGCGGTTTACGCGGCACCTTGCCTCCTGGCAGCAGATGGAGTGCAACTGACGCCAAGGGGCAAAAGGATCCTTGCTCATGAGCTGGCAGGCCTCATCGAGAGGGCTTTAAACTAGATTTGGAGGGGGCAGGGGATAAAACCAGGCTCACTAGAGTTGAGCCTAGGGGTGGTGTGCCAGAGTCGAAATCGATAGTCCAGCTCAGGTGCATCTACCCCAGTGCACGCAGCATGGGCACCAAACAGGA